CTTACGGAGGCGGAATGTGATATTGGAGCGGTCCGTGATTTGGCTATTGGACTGGCCTTAACCTCTTAATGGGGGGAGGGTGTTCATGCAGACCTTAAACACCAGAAATTTATACTATTTTACGTGGACGAGTAAGAAAAACTTCAAAACAAGGAAGCTTTATGTACATTTTCTTTTTCCTTTTTTTCTTTAGCCCGGCGTGCCGACCGTCGGTTAAAACTATCGGACCGGCCCAGTAATTGCATCGACCGCTTTTATGCCATGACCAGTCCGCCCCTATCACCACCGTAATGGAACAACAAAAAGTGATTTTCCTATTGTAATAGTACTGAAACAATAATTTTAGGAAATATGCTGTATGGTAGAAACATTGATTGGATATTATCTAATCAGTTCCAAAATTATATATACATAAACTTAAGAGAATTTTGCCACCACTGAGTGATAGAGTTAGACGACAATATTTATAAGAAATGTTTTAATTCTTTTTTAAACTTAAGTGATTAGCTGTGTACTAAACTGGATTGAATTTATTCAGTAACTAAAAGTAAACTATTTGATTTGGAAAGAAATTCAAACAAAACTTTTTCTACCTTAACGTTAGATTATTATGTGTATAATAAAAACCAAACCGATCATATAACTAAATCTACAATAAATGTAGTTGAAGGTGAAACCAACCGCTTGTCTCAGGTATAATTTTATCATTTCCTTTTAGCACAAATTTAGCCAAACTTATGCTGTTCTAATGCTTTTCATCCCTTGTCTGATAAAAACTGATTTAAACAAACAAATATAAAGAGCTCTATTCTAATATTAAAAGATAAAGTGTTTAATAAAATGACTCGAATTCCTCTCGTCCTAAGTTGAGTTTTAACTATGCTGTATTAGCGCAGATATCCTCATTGCTTTGCGCCATAAAACGCCAAACAACCAACGAACTATGCTGTAGAAATTGAATGGGACCCAATACGTCCTAGAATTATATAATCAGCTGTACGATGGAAATAGCGTAGGATATACCAGTTTATTTTTTTTTCTTTTGTAGCCATTATAACTGCTTGTGCTTAACTAAACCTTGCTGATACGACTTTCAAGTTATAAAAGACTGGTAGATGTACGATAAAAATGAGTCTGTGAGTTAACTTTGCACATGAAGTCACGGAAACAAAATTGTTAATTTCGTATCATACCTATGTTGTAGCAGTATTTTTGGATTTGAACCGTCTATCTGGACGAAGTTGATAAGAGAACCACAGAACGTTACAGAATTTCTATTACCGATCCTTCAATACCGACCTTTACTCCGCCTATTGCTGTTATCACTTGTTCCATGCCTTTCCCCTTCTTCACGTCTGACAGCTGAGTAAATCGAACTAAGATGTGCCACGTGATAAGTTTCCTCTAGAGTGTACCAAGGAAGGGGTGGGGGAAGAAACAGGGGAAGAACTCAGAGGTTCTCTGAACTCAGTCCAAACATTGCTCGGTTTTTCGATACTGCATTGTAAAATTAAATGTCACTGTATATCATAATTAGTTTGGAAACCAAATAAGATACATTTCTGAACTGTACAGAAACATCAACTAGTATCACGTGGTAATTAAAGGTCAGAATGAAACACAATGTCCCATTCCTTAACCCATGATGGCTCAGGTCATCACCAACTCTTATTATAGAGCAGCGCGTACATATCTGTAAAGAACAACAACAATGGTTTAAGAATGGTGACAATGCCACACTTAGTCGGAAATAATATATTGAAATGACAAATAGTCAAGACATTTTAAATAAATAAACACATCTTTAATTTTAAGTTTAAGGAATAATACAATATTTGTTTTCTGTTAACATCGAACTGCGCTTAATGGAACTCAAACGTTCAAACAACGTATATATTTTTTTAGACAAAACACATATGCATGCGTATTTTTTATTCGTATTTGTGTAACGCACCTTGTATTTACTTAAGCGTACGTAGAATATGGATATATATATATATACACACATAGGTTTCTACAGTGAACTTTGTGAAACCTACATACACATAGATAATACTTGATAGGGTATAATATCAATACAACTAGACATACTTCCAAACCAAAAGTCGTTATGTACATAGATAGAATACACATATACCAAAAGGTTTTGAGCGAGACAAACTACAATACATTTAATTTCGGTCACTCGATTAATTTACGTTTTTATAAGTTAATATTTATATATAGCTTCAAGATAAAGATGCATAAGTTTGACCAATTACCAAGAAGTTTCATGATGCATCAAAGGAGGAACTATTCACTTTCATAAACAGGACTGAAAAATGTATGTAATAACTGAAATTTAAACACGTGATAAATGATAGTTCAATTTCAAATGAACGAATGGGCAACCAGATACACAAGAAGGTCGAAAGTATTTAACATAGATAGATAGATTGATTGAATAATTAACAAACTGTCAGGCAGACGAACATATGGAAGGAAAAACGACAACGGAATGAGTGATCAAGAAGAAAGAAAAACATGAAAGAGTGAAAAAAAAATCGGACAAATACAAATAAGTGAATAACCAATAGATAGAGATATAGTGACAATAGAATACATGACAGAATGATATATTATCAGACAGAGAAACCAACATATAAACGAACGAAGGATGGATGTGTAAGAAATATATAACACGTGTCTGAAAAATGAGTAGTTGATTAGACATACAATTAAACAAATAAATGGACAAAAAAAAAGGGCACCCGAATGTATGGTCAAGGAATACAGAGAGAAAAAAAGAGGAAATAATAATGTGCGCGACAAATGTAGATAAATGATATGAGATTTGCTTCATCGATATTATAAATCCTGCCACCTAGGAGGCATTTGGAGTATTAGATTTACCTGCGCACATCAATAGACTCTGTGTCAATTTAATAATGTTTCAATAATGCTTTTGTATACGGCACTAAAACTTACCTACTGAATTGCCATGTGTGATAACTTAAATCACACATGATTTTACCTTGCTAACAAAATTATCTATACCGTGACTTAATTTTCATAACAATTGTGCAAGAATTTTTGTCACCTAGTGGAAGGTGCTTTTTTTGTATGCCACAAAACTGATGGTAAACCCTAGTTTTTAGTGATATGTTATATTTTCACTCATGATGTAAAGGCCTGCTTGTATTGTTATTATTATCATTCTCACCAGCGTCTGGTGAGAAAAACTTGGCTTTATCTCTTTTTTTTTCTTTATTAATGTCCACTCCTTAGCGAAAGAGCAGTGCTACAAATAATGTATTTAAAGTTTTCTGTATTATTATTACTTTGTCTACATTTTAGGAACAATAATCTGTTCTATATGAATTTGTGTAATGATTTTTGTGAATGCTTCTTCGGAACACACAGATCAAAGTAACAGAATGCTACTTGAAGAAAACAATTATTTGGCAAAAGTAACCTATCTCTCCTCTATGTGATATTGTTACGTTAATCTATAAAAGTATCTAGATAGTTGAAATATGTTATTCTTAATATTTTATTTTTTATTATATATATATTCAAACTGTATTTTTTTAAATTTGTATGTATATGCGTATTTGCTTATGTCTTACAAAACCATATAATGTGCATGAATCATATAATAATACTGATAATAATCGGCGGGTTGGTAAAAGATAAAAATATGCCTTTTGTTGATTGTTCAAATACAATCTAGCTCAAGGCAACAGTTCACGATTGTTATAACATTTCAGACTTCGACTGTAACATGGGTTTTCGTACATTGCGTTCCTTGATGATTATTATGTGTTCAAAAATACGATTTGAAATTGTCTTTCTTAAAAGTTGAATTTATTGCTAAGTTTAAAATGTGTGTAACAGATTTATTATTGATTGTTTGTTTAAGTTAACCACAAAGTTACACAATGGGCTATCTGTGCTCTGCCCATCAAGAGTATCGAAATCCGGTTTCTAGCGTTGTAAATCCGCAGACATACCGCTGTGCCACTGGGGGGAATTTCGTATTGATAAACTTTCTTTAGGGTATCAGCGAATTCTTATTTCAAGCTATGGTTTTTTATCTTACTTAAAAACAAAGTTAAATTAATAAAAAAAACTCTAATTTCTAGCATTAGTTACTGCCTAGTTAAAAATCTTGATAAGTAAAAATAAATACAATCATAAAAGCCTTTTCTGCTTTGCCAACCTGCTATTTTATTACAATATTTATTTTATGTCAGAATTGCCAAATAATTCAAAATCAGCTTGATCCAACAATTTTATAAATCATAAAATATAACTTTCTTTTCCAATACTTATCTGAGCTATTTTAAATAAATCAAATTATTAAATTATATCGACCAGAAAATGTGTTTAAAATTATGTTTCATACAAACTTCAAGACAGAGTTAGTCATACTTTATGGGTACACTAATTTTCGTTTTTGTATTTCCAGAGAGAGAGAGAAAGAACGAAGCTTTTATAACTACCCCCTTTAAGAGTAGGTTTTCCTGTCATACTTCTCGGAACAAAGGAATACGTGTGGGGCTCTTATAGCATATTTCGTGCGTTACGTGTGAAATATTGGCTGAAATAAGCTGGTTCAATAATAAAAATACGTTTAAGTGCATTATAAAACACATTAAAAAACAACTTAAGTAATATATTCTTTAACAAGTATAGAAGTTTTACTCAATTTTAAAGTTATTGTATATAAAGGCTAAAGTCTCTAATGGTTGCTTTTACTTCAGTAGATGACGTAGAAACATAAAATAAGTTTAGCTTAATCTTTTTTTCGAACACAGTTACTTAGACACAACATATATATATATAAACATGCTCATGAAATATTTGAGAAATTACTCTCGTGAAAAATATACGTTGGGATAAGAATAATCCTTATACTTTTTAAAAAATACTTGTCACGTCCCTCTTAGCATTTCTCGTTGATCACCGTTCCCTACCCTAAACAGCTACAAGTGGTATCACCCGCGTCAGGACGAGACGCTTCGGGTTTGAGTGTGTAAGCAACAAGTATAGGATGGTGAAATTTAAAGAATTGTTACAGCTAGTTCCTGATTTTCTGAAACTGTAAAAAGTACTCTCGAGGTTCTTAATTTTTCCCATTTGAAGAATCTGACAAGAAAACATTCAAAAGTTGTAAGTACAAAACATATCTATTTAGATTTTATTAGATAGTAAAAGTTCATTTCACAGACCTGTTTCATTTTCTTAGACCAGTTATAATGTGGGCGAGGGCTAAGGCTTAAGCTCCTATGCTCCATTAGGCCTATCCCGTTCAAATGTTAGGCCTAACAACATTGTAATAGTTGGCAAACATGGAATTCAGTGTAGTGTTGGAATGCCGAACGCTCGAAGGGTTTTAAATACATCTGTTGGATTTGTTCTATTAGTATTAAAATGCGTAGTTGGAAAGGTGAATTTATTCAATTTTTATATATTAGTTTAATGGTTAAGTTAGTTAATTTAAATTGGCATAATTAATGTTTTTTAATTTATTTAAGTTAAACTTATGAATAAGTCAGTATTTTTATGATTACAATTTTCAAGTTCAGGCGTTATTTACTAGTAGTAGTACTAGTACTAATAATATTCGTTTAGAAACAAGTTAGTAATACCATACTACAGTATTCATCATATGTACATTTTGTTTGAAAATATTTCTATATCATATATATTGTGGTCAATTAATAAATCATTTATTAAAGTTTAATCGATTTAAAATAAAAAAAAAGCTTTAAGGTTGTAATATAAAAAAACAATTTATATTAAGGATCAAAAATAGCTCTGTGTAGCGTTTTTTTTAAAAAAAGTCCATTGATTTTAAAATTATTTAAAAATTTTACACAGCAAACATAAAGAACATAAGAAAAAGATTTAATTAGCTTTACTCAAAACTCATTATTGGGTTGATTTTTAGTTTTGATCTAAGTAAGTAGCTTGTTTTAATGGAAAGTTAATACATTGTTTTCAGTTGTTTGCACAGATTTTATACTTTTATTACAACAAATGAAAAAGGAAAGGGAGGAAGCCCTAAGTATTTGAATTTTATGTACTGTTTGTTAAAGAATTCAAGAACTTCAAAATTCATATAGTCACAACTTCTTGACTGTGTATTTCCTTTTAGGTGTGTTGATGTTGATAATACTACCATAAAAAATCTCTTATTCAGTTCAAGATAGAACTGCTGTTAAAAAACAAAAAGTAGAATAGTGAAGTTATGAACTTGTTTAAAAATTATATTTTATGATTATAATCTTTATTACAGCTAAGAACTTAAATGGATAAAACACTTTTTTTTTGCTTTAGTTTGAATGACATCATACATTAACATTTTATTTGTTCATTTCTTGGTTGGTGTAAGAAATTTCAATTAAGTTATTGAGAATAACATAACATAATGTTTTGGGATAACATGGGACCTGTTGGTCGATCTTAGCTGTTCCATTCTCTAAACTAAATTAAAATAATTAAAGATAAAAATCTTAAAGATAACCCTTATCATTCATATACTTATCAAGCTTTTTCTTAAACTCACATTTACTGCCTCTGTAACATCTGAAGGCAACCCATTCCAAAGGCCAACCACCTTGTTAAAAAAATTAAATCGTATTAGATGAAGGTGACTCCTATCTCGCCAAAATTTATATTTGTGTCCCCTAGTCCTACTGTTTTCACTGTTAAATATGAAAAAGATGATGCTTTAACACTATCAATTCCCTTTACAATCTTAAATACTTCAATCAGATCTTCCCTAACTCTTCTTTTTTTCAAGATAACACAATTTGAGAGATATCAGCCTCTCCTTGTTCGAAAACTCCCCCATCCCTGTCACCATTCTAGTAACCCTTCTCTGAACCCTTTCCAACAATTCAATGTCTTTCCTAAGGTAAGGAGCCCAGTGACCTTTACAATGAAATTATAACCTCAATATTTCTGTAAATACAACCTAAAATCCTATTTGCCCTACCACTAGCAACAGCACACTA